AAAACACAAAACACAAAACACAAAACACAAAACACAAAACACAAAACACAAAACACAAAACACAAAACACAAAACACAAAACACAAAACACAAAACACGAAACGAAACGAAACAAAACAAAACAAAACAAAACAAAACAAAACAAAACAAAACAAAACAAAACAAAACAAAACCCAAAACAAAACCCAAAACAAAACAAAACAAAACACAAAACAAAACAAAACAAAACAAAACACAAAACAAAACAAAACACAAAACAAAACAAAACCCAAAACAAAACAAAACAAAACACAAAACAAAACAAAACAAAACAAAACACAAAACAAAACAAAACACAAAACAAAACAAAACACAAAACAACATTACAAGCCACATGACATATCAACAAAATAACACAATTAAAACATCATCACAACAGCCAAAAGGGCCGAATTTGAAAATATTGACGGACAAGAGTACTAACACAACTTAAAGGACAAAGAAGACAACACCAATGAAGGCGATCCCCGTGCTCAGAGAGATAGATACCCGCAACACATCTCAAAAGACAACGGCAGTAGCAACCAGTGAAGGCGACCACCGCGCCTCCGAGAAACATTTAGATACATTAATTAATTAATCACGCAACTCCGCCGCAAAAACATTAATGTCCCCCAGCCGACACCACCACTCGCCAACCAGAAATCGAAGAAATTGGCCGGCAAACAATGACGCTGCTGAACACGGATCATACACCGTAAGGCAGACTTGACACGCGATAGGACCGTAGGGTAATGCGGTATCCGCACCTTATCAAACTTGGCTTTATTCCTGGTTAACCAAATGTGGTGGCGAATAATTCCCAACAAACATGGAAATACGGGAGGTACCTTTACATTCTTGCCATAACCAACAAGAAGATCACATTTAGAAGGACGTTGGGAAACGTTTATAGACAGAAAAATACCAATCAATAAGTTCATTAGCAAAGGTGGATGAGGGACTCCGTTCGGCTACAGTGACACAACGGGTCAACGTGCATTCCAAAGCGCAGCACTCGAGTGCATTACACCAACACAGCAAATATCATGATTATTAGATTACACTGATACCGAAGGAACTAGACTCAGTTCCGAAGTATCGCATACTCGAACCGACCTGACCGCGTAGCTCAGTTGGCAGAGCATTGGGCTAGTATTCCAAAGGTCGTAGGTTCGAATCCCACCGTGGCCAGGCATACTTCCGAAGCCTGCCCGGTGTAGATATACACACAGGGTAACATCACACAAGCGTTCCCATACCCATTGCGTTACCCATTTTTAATATATATTCACCATAGATATGGCCACGAAATATTCGATGATACTTTCCAAGCCTCAGCTCCCCTGTAGACTTTAAAAGCCTTAAGTTTTTCATATTATTTGTTTTTGGCTTATAGGCAATGCGAAATTGAATTTGCTGTTTCTCGTATTATGCGCATGTATTGAATTCGTGTTGGTGAAAATTTTAGTTAAATGAATTGGTAACATTTTGTTTTTGACTTAAAAGATAAGGAGCGCTAATATCGGTGCCATTCTTGATGGCCAACTTTCGGCTTCATTTCTTACACAATAGATACCCAATTCAGTCTTACTTTCAGATCAGTGATGTAGGCCCTCCGGAAAGATCGAACTTCCGGCCCTGCTATTACGAAGCAGCACCCTGATCAGCGACCTTCAAAGTCCAGTTGGCAAGAACCAACCAGAAGACAGAAATTTGTCTTACCTTCTTACCTTTAAGCCATTCAATGCAACTCAACAATTGTTATTACAACTAATTGGTCCTATCTTTAGTTACAGGCATTGCTACACTCATTTAGACACACTTTTTTATACAGGGAAATCATTATCCATCCGGTTACGAGGACAAGCAAGGCCACGTTCAAATTACATTGGCCGGGTTGAAGTATTCTACTCTGGGAAATGGGGAACAATCTGTGATAATGGTTGGGATATAAATGATGCTAGAGTTGTATGTCGTCAACTTGGATATAAATACGGTGTTAGAGCTCTTCTAGGGAAAGATGTTCCTGATGGTACTGGACAGATATGGTTAGATGATGTTGCTTGCGCTGGAAATGAGTTAAGTTTGAGCAATTGTTCTCATAGCGGATGGGGAAATAAAAATTGCGGGCACACCAAAGACGCTGGAGTAGAATGTTCTGCAATAACAGGTACCGTACGTAAAAATATAGTTGATGTTCCTGGTCGTGAATATTTTTTGGCTCCACTCAGATTCATGAAGAGTCCTAAGAGCATCATTGGTTAGAGTGTCCCTGTCACAAAATGAGAGTTTATATTTTCGAAATCTATGATACAAAATATACGGAAATTCGAAAACGGAATTAAAATTTCTTTTTTAGTGTAAAAGTTATTGCCGTTTAAACATTGAATTTGGCCTTCTGAAAAATCTGAAAACCGCGCAAAAGGGACTGGGACGAAACAATGCGTGTGACGTAATAGTAGGAACTTATGTAGCTCACTAATATAGAAATACTATTGCATGTACTATCATAGAGGAGGCAATAGCGCAAATAAAAGTCACGAAACTGAAAAATTGCCGAATATATGCATGTGTAGTAGGCGGTTGTTCTAATGTCACAGATACAGAGTAAGGCATTTCACTTCATTTTATACCTTTTACTGGAGGCGAGATGCACGAAGCGAAAAGGACACGGATTGACTTCGTGCACCTTAAACCAGCAATATGAGATCCAATGTTCAGCATACTTTGCGAAGATATAGCTTGCTGGTAAAACCACGATTAGCTACCGACGAAATTGGTTTCGTTGCAATTCCAAAATATACAAATACTGTCGACGACAAACCTTTGTCTGCGAGAGCCAGGAGAATGGTATATGTATAATTTATACTCTAATTTCGTTTATCATGCACTTGAATATGGCCTAGTGCAATTTTTATTCCAAATTCGTTATTTGAATAGGTTGTATTTAGAAGCTGCTTCGATGCAGTCAACCGATATGGTCATAGTCACGAAACTGGAAAGCGCGATAAATATAAATGAGC